GGAAGTAAGGGGACAAAAAGTGTAATGACGGGGTTAAATAAGACGGGGGAACAAAGGAGCATGCCGTACCGCCCGGCCTACAATGTCATTGTTGATTGGGACGTTTGCCGGGTGGACGGACCCCTCTCAGCTAAAGGTCACCATCTATCTCTGCAGATACCAGGTTACAAGATAGCTTACCATACTCATGGCACTATTTTATGGCTATGCCCATATCTCCATATCATCCACGTATACAAGACTATATATTGGATCGGATTATTTCTACAACACTAGATTTTATTGCGTGATTACTTACATTCGTTGAGATAACTTAAGGAAGTTGTACCTTTCAGCATATATATATGTCGTTAACCCGGGTAAGCCAACAAGTGAGTTGGAAGCAGTCGGAGTTGAGTGGCAAGGCGTGCAGAGTGGGAAGTCCGCACGGGACAGTAAGGACAAAGTTTGGGATCAAAAGACGCTCTCCTAGTACGTCTCACGTGGCACCAGGACCAGGGTAAAGTTGAGAATTAACTGAGGAAAGCTCGGCGTCCTGCATGAAGCCGCGGAGGCAGAGAGGAACCAAAACGGCGGCCACGAGGGCCGCCGTGAGACCTAGCACTCAGCGGGCCTCTCCGAAAATATCCACTGTAACCTAACTAACTGTCAACATCCGGACCAACGCCCCTTCTTTGTCCCTCTCTGGATCCCCCGGGTGTCCGGTAGCAAGCTGGTGTCTCTTTGAGACGACTAGAAAAGACGTCGATTTTATTACTTACATTTCACATTGTTTAAATTACGATAGAATGTGCCCCCGGTGAGAAAGGTTTGATTAGGGGAGTGAAATAAAATGAAGCGAAAAGCTAGCACACCTATTAAATAGGTAATAATTTGGGGCAAAAATTAGTTACTAGAATAAAAATAAAGATAAAGGGCAGAGTAGTGGTGACACACTGATATACTATTATAAAACTACAAAAAAATATATATATAAGGAGTACATAGGAAGGATAAATTTAAAGTAAACACACACAATAGCGAGGGTAAATATTTGGGAAAGTTAGGTATACTATTTACAGTTTTTTGTTACTTAAGGTGCCATGAGTATTTACAACATAGTTTCAGGGATGTAATACAGGAACGAGGTGAAGTAGAGATGATAAAAGTAATATAAAATATAAAAGAAAATTGACTTAAGCAATAAGTTAGGCAGTGACGCAGTGAAGGTTAAAGGAAGAGAGTCTGAATTGGTTTCTGCAAAGGACATCTCAGGAGTCCTGCCCTGCAATACGAGCTTAGAAGCGAAGTATTGTTTTCAGGGTTAAGCAATCTCAAGATGCCCTGTAAGTAGCATTAGATTAGATGGGCAAAAGGCGTGAAGATCGAAGGAGAGGTAGGTAATGAGAGAATATGGGAAAGAAAAGCTGGACCAGATAAAAATAAAAGTAAAAAATAAATGAGTGGGTGCATCATGCTGATGATGGTGATGGGTCGAGCGTGAGAAAAAAAAATCTCGCTGGTTACCCAAGCTCTCCGTGTGGAGTTAACATGGGGATGAAGAGTGCACCAGGTCAATGAATCATAAATTTAAAAAAATGTTGACGAGCAGGAGTCTCAGGAACCGTTGAAGAGGTTAGAGGATGGAGGTAGATTGTGAAAACAGGGTTCGACTGTTGCCATTGATTGATTGAACCCGGGTTTGAGAAAAAAGAATGAAATGAAGAATGCTGGGACGGTGACCCGGGTGTAAATAAAAAAAATAATAATAAGCCATGGATTTTCCTGAACACACCATCAAGATGGGATGGCGAGGGAGGAGTAGTCCACTGGGGCAAATCAAGAAAAAAGTCGGCGAACAGGAACTCTGCGAAGGACGAGGGGTGGTTAGAACGAAGGCATAGAAGGCCTAAGGAAAAGGATCACGAGACGAGAGAAGTATGGAAGGCAGAGTTGGAAGGATCAAGAAATGAGAAGGGTTGGTAGAAAGGCGTCACTGTTAAAACAACATTTTTAAAATTAAGTTATCTTAGACGTAGGCCATGAGAAAAGCAAATGATGTCAAAGAATATAAGGTTTCAGATGATGTTTATATAGGTTGGCTAATGGTTTTATCTGTTTAGGGATGGAAGGAAAAGAAGTATCATAATGTAAAAGAAATATCCAAAAATATATGGATTGATTCTACAATATAAAATGGCACACATCAAGGATAGTAAAAATATGAATGAATAAGATTAAAAATATAGTAAGTGTTTAGGTTAGTGTGTTCCCCACGTGATGCAGTGCCTATAAACGCAAATTAGACGATGTTTGAAAAAGTCAAAAGTGGTAAATAAATTGAAATGCCATTATGGTTTGTTTTTTTTTTTTTTCATAATTATAATTTCAGAGACGTATCACATGGTGAGAGAGAGAGAAAAAGGTAAACGAACTTATCAAAAGTAGTAAAATGTTACAAGTAAACTTATAATGAATATCTAAAGGTTTAGAGTGACGCAGTGGTTATGTGAGGAAGTCTGAGTTGATTCTTGCAAAGGCGTTCGGCAATGCAATACGTGCCTGTCTAAGTGAGGTATTGTTTTCATTGACCGAACTCCCAAGACTTTTCATAATCAATATTAGATCAGACAGAGAAGGTAGTTAAGTTGAAAGTGGAGAAATGGGAATGGTGGAGTCAAGAGTTGCTCTGTTGCCAATGATGATTGAGCTCGGATGAAAATGAAAAAAAAAAAAAGTAATAAAATGGTGAAAATGATGGTTGTAATGATGATCCGAGCGTTGAGAGGAAAAAAAAAAAAAAAACCTCGAACTGGTCGCCTGAGCTCACTGTTGGGAAGTGTACAGCGAGGAAGGTTGAGCCAGCTGGTTGAATCAAAATTTAAAAAAGTAATAATAAAAGTTTGGTTGGCGAGCAGGATCTTCTTGACTGCGGGAAATATGAAAGGTGAGGATTGTGGAAGGTAAAGGGTACTGTGTTGCCATTGATGATTAAACAACCCGACATTGTTGAATGTAATGAATGATGTTGTCGGGTGATGGATAAAAAAAAATAATCTTTGGATTTCCTGAACTCGTTATCGGGAATTGTATACCGAGGAAGGATGTTCCAATAGATGAATTAATTTAAAAAATGGTTGGCAACAGGAACGCTATGGGAGACTGTATGAGGCTGAGAGTAAGTGGGTTAAGGAGGTGTGAGTAAGTGATATAGGAGGATAGGTTCGGGAGATAGAGATAGAGAGAGGCGTCAAAAAAAGAATAATACTATTAATCTAATAGAAATAAGGATATCAGAAAATAGACGATCTTGAGGTAATAAAAAAAATATATACTGTTGAAATAAACTCAAATGATGTTTAAAAGTTCGAAGTTCTAAGGTTTTAAAATCTATATATGATGACAGAGATGAAAATATTCTCTAAATTTAATAATATAAATGATTGATGAGTGTTAAATATTCTAAGATATAATGACTAATGATAATAGTAACATAAAATGTTTATAATAATGGTTGGGTTTTGATGGTTTATAATGGCTGAGTGGTTGAGGCATAGAAAAATAAAACAAAGAAATATAGCATACAAATATAAAAAGGGTGGTAGCTTGATTGATTTTTAAAATGGATGGCATCGACGAAGATGATTGTAATAAAGATAAGGGTAACATTACAAGATGGCATTCTAATTTAGAAAAATATTTCACACTGGGGGTTAAAATAATGCAAAAGTAGTAAAACACACAATGATAATTGAAGATATAAAATAAAGCAAATAAAATGATATGAAAAATAAAAGAAAATATAATAATATAAAAGAAATAAAATGTTTGTTCTGGTAATAGGATCGGGAGGCCGAGTTGAGCTCGTTGAAGAACGACAGAGGCTCACCTTTGAGAAGCTCGTGGAGCCTCGCAGACCTGTACATGATGTAGTTCCGGACGGCTTCCATTGCCGGAAGAAGTGTTCTGCGGATAAGTCCCGTCGTAAGGTGCCATAGGCGAGGCATAGGCACGTGACGCCGTCACTTCTTGGAGGGTCTCGGTGAGTCGGTTTACCAAGTTGGCCAAGCTGGGCCGGATGAAAATGGCGGGCAACTCAGAAGCGTCCACGTAGTGTTCCCCGTCCTCGTCCATAGTCCTTTGTCCACTGTCCGCCATCATAATCCTGTCGACTTATACGAGTCTACTGTCGTAAACCCGGGTAAGCCAAGAAGTGAGTTGGAAGCAGTCGGGGTTGAGTGGCAAGCCGTGCAGAGTGGGAACTCCGCACGGGACAGTAAGGACAAAGTTTGGGATCAAAAGACGCTCTCCTAGTACGTCTCACGTGACACCAGGACCAGGGGAAAGTTGAGAATTAACTGAGGAAAGCTCGGCGTCCTGCATGAAGCCGGAGAGGAACCAAAACGGCGGCCACGAGGGCCGCCGTGAGACCTAGCACTCAGCGGGCCTCTCCGAAAATATCCACTGTAACCTAACTAAATGTCAACATCCGGACCAACGCCCCTTCTTTGTCCCTCTCTGGATCCCCCGGGTGTCCGGTAGCAAGCAGGTGTCACTTTGAGACGACTAGAAAAGACGTCATACTTTATTACTTACATATCACATTGTTTAAATTACGATATAAATATATTTAATTAAAAAGGCATATATTGTATCAAAATATCATTTATTTTACCAATATTTCAGTTGGCTGAACGCCAACCTTTATCAAGGTGTTATAACATATTTGATGTGTGTCAACAACAAACTCAGCGCCACATAACGTCAACAGAATTAAGTTTTTTAAATATTTTGTTATATTCGATGGGGAGAAAAAAACTGATATATATATTTATACTAGACGAATGGCCCGGGCAACGCCCGGGTTTTACCCGAGTGCGTATATATTTTAAAAATGTTTTAATTAAAATACTATTCGTTACAATTATAAATTGGCGCCGTGGATGTCTCTCTTGTGAAACGTCCCGCCCCAAACTGTGTGACTTAAAAATATAAAAATAAAAATGTGAACGGAAAAATATGTCCAGGGTAGCCTAGTGGACATGGCATCTGCCCGGTAAGCGGAAGGTCGTGGGTTCGATTCCCATCCCTTGACACTTTTTTTATTTTATCCATTCTGACCAAAATCTATCCGTGAACTTCACACAGTGAACTTCACACAGAGAGAATAAGGCAATTATATAAGTAGATAATCCAAATTGTGCCTTATCACACACTATTTTTTTATTTGGCCTTATTACCTTGTGTTTAAAATCTATGACGTAATGCCGGCGGCGCGCGCCCGTTGACTGCCAGCGAGCACGTGACCTCCCTGTGCGCGCGCACCCGTGACAGAACCGGCCGGCCCATGACGGTCGTGGCTATATATATACTGGATGGATAATAATAATATAATAATAATAATAATAATAATAATTATTATTATTATTATCATTAGATAATGATAATGATCATAATGATGATGCGCGCGCATCTGTGACAGAACCGGCCGGCCGGCCGGCCCATGACGGTCGTGACTATATAAGTTGATGGATGGATAATAATAATAATATAATAATAATTGTGCCTTATCACACACTATTTTTTTATTTGGCCTTATTACCTTGTGTTTATACTCTATGACGTAATGCCGGCCGCGCGCGCCCGTTGGCTGCCAGCGAGCACGTGACCTCCCTGTGCGCGCGCACCCGTGACAGAACCGGCCGGCCCATGACGGTCGTGACTATATATATAATGGATGGATAATAATAATAATATAATAATAATAATTATTATTATTATTATTAGATAATGATAATGATCATATTGATGATGCGCGCGCATCCGTGACAGAACCGGCCGGCCGGCCGGCCCATGACGGTCGTGACTATATAAGTTGATGGATGGATAATAATAATAATATAATAATAATAATTATTATTATTAATATTATCATTAGATAATGATAATGATCATAATGATGATGTGCGCGCATCCGTGACAGAACCGGCCGGCCGGCCGGCCAGCCCGCCCATGACGGTCGTGACTATATATAGGGATTATGGAGACAAAATAAATATATATATCTTTTTTTTTCTCCCCATTGAATATAACAAAATATTTTAAAACTTAATTCTGTTGACGTTATGTGGCGCTGAGTTTGTTGTTGACACACACCAAATAATGTTATAACACCTTGATAAAGGTTGGCGTTCAGCCAACTGAAATATTGGTAAAATTTATTTATGGATTGCTCTATTAAAAATATAAATATATATCGGGTTTAAGGTAATAACTCTAAAAGATATTTGATATATATATATATGGTAAACCTTTATTGTGTGAAGACACACAATATAATAAAATGTGAACAAAATTGTCTCTGTCTCTTAAAAAAAAAAAAAAAAAAAGACGATATCAAAGACATTCCCCTTTTTAAGTTTTGCCCAAAGAGTGGCTGTGGAGAGACCCATCTACAAGTATATGGTACACCCAGGTTAATATATAAATACATACAAGGTCTACTCAACAGGTACAACACATTTTCAAAGTTTATCAAATTTAATCCCATTTCAATGTTTTTTCCCTCCAAAATAGTGTGTGTCCTTCGTTATATATAGACCGCTCCCGTCTTTTAATCAGGTTGACAAAGCAGTCAGAAAATTCTTTTAAAATATGTCAAGAGTTCGATTTTTTTTTTACATCTTCAATTCCAATAAAAATATTTTTAAAGGGGTTTTAAATTTTAGAAATAGGCGGGAAAAAGTCACAAGGAGGAGAGATGGCGTGTCTGTGAATTCAGGTAATGAAACCTCTTGTTAACGTCTTTTAAAACGTATTTTCAGGATTCCAAACACACACAGATAATATTTACATTTTAAATGGTTGAGGGAGTAAAGAAGATGTGTTAATATCTCAAAACGATGGTTTTATGAAGTTAAGACTGTTTTTGAGCATTATGTGGGTGACCGTTATCATTGCCTAATTGTCTAGAAACCCTTTTATATATATACACCTTATTTATGATTTAAAAACCTATTTTAATGAACAATATTAAGACTCAGCATTCATTGTGGTCCCGTCTTAAGCATATTTCTCAAGAATAGTTTTGTGAAATAAAATTAACATGACATTGCCTGCTGAAGAACTGGCCTCTTTGGAATAAGGATGACTTCATTCCACCGAAATTTGCTTACTCTCGGGGAACTAGGCTCCAGAATGGCTGTTTCATTTAAAATATATAAAAATCCAAATCTCTATCAGTCTGCCATACAATGTTGTGTTTAAATATTTTGTTCCATAGCCTGATAGTGTGGGCATACATTGAGAAAACCCTATTTAGCCCTATCACAATCTTATATGCAGCGATCTCATAGCTGTTGAATAACATATCTGGGTTAGGCGTGGTCCTGAATAGCTCCGATCGTAATCTTCCTATGAGCCTGACCGGGCCGAGAAGAACCATCAATTTCACCATCAATCCATGTAATGGCAATTATGAGTATGCCGAATGCCGGCTGGCAATATGCCTTCTCTACTATGTCGTCAAACGCGGCCGTGCTGTAAACAGAACTTGGATTAATCTGAATACACAGCGTTACGAAATTCCTACGTTCAATTTTCGTGGTTTATGGAATTTTCAACGATTCGTATTCTGCACGAAACCTAGTTGCCATCCAATATATTTGTTGTAATTGCTATTATTGCTTGATTAGTCCTTTATAGTGCGTCGTGATGTTAGAACAAACACATATGTAAATAAGCATCTCGAGATTTTTTACTTCATCGATGTCACCAGTACCACGAGGCCCTGAAGATCTTATATTCATTCAGCTAGTCAGAGAGCAGCATAATGGATGTGCTTAATACAGATTTTGAATGCTTGGAAATTGTGAAAGAACCATATTGAATATTGACTTGATCCTTGGTCAATGCAGAACTTTCTTCAGCAATTATATGAAATGAATTTTCGATTTAATTAATGCTTGCAACCAATGGTCTCCGATTGATTGAAAGCTAATAGAGAAGCCTCAAAGCTGTTCTTTTGCCGACACAGTAATATAACCTAACCCTCCACTTATCAATTTTAGGCATCTTAAAGAAGACCATATGAATTTTGAAATGTTGCTTGATAATTTTATAATTTTTACTATAATTTTTGTAATAAAATATCAAAAAGCCTTGCGCAATAAGTTTCTTCATTAAAAAACAGCGAAATCTCGAAATCTCGCGCTGTTTTTTAACGAAGAAACTTTTTGCGCAAGGTTTTTTTTTTATTTGATAATAGTAAATCGCAATTTTCTATATTTGAATAATTATTTGCATGCGATGTATAATAGGAGATTTCAAATTTTCCCTTATATTTGGGTCTGTAAAGCTGATATGTCAAATATTCATTATACATGTATCTTTGAGGCATCCACGATACCATATCGCATTACCACAACGTAGATATTTTTTGTTGGAAGGGAAGTCAAGTAAGAGAACTTCTGGTCAATCCATGAGAGCGCTATTGCCAGCACTGAATATGAAATGGGGTACCATGATATATCATTTTAAAAATAAACATGAATGACGAAAAGCAATCTTCAAGGAAAAAGGTCAGTAGCCTTATAATACATCTGTGACCAAGGTTTGCAAGTTTAAAGTCGATGCCGGCATTTGTTTTGTTCCGCAGATTGAAAAGGCCATATATTGCGCATATTTTCATGATCTTCTCAGCTCCAGTGAATTATGGATTTGAAGAAATCTTGCTGCGCTAGTTAAACAGTTCTGTATATGAGCATGCAGAATTATTGCCGACGCTGCTAAAGTGTTTTAGCAAGACTTGCTGCAGAAAGTTTTCTTTTAGCGCTCATTTTTGATTCTCACCTTGATAATTTAAAAGTTAAAGTAGGGTAATATCAATAGAAATATCTTTCATTGTTGAAAACAACAGTGAAAACAATTAATGTGCTAATTATTATAAACACGGGAAAATCGACAAGGTTCTGGTCACATAAAATAACAATTTAGTAAATATGAAGGCGCATTTCTTAAATGGCCAGTCGTAGGAAAGATAACACAGATTATTCGGACACAAAAGGTACTATATTATGACATTTAGGTGGATTTTCTATTGAAGAATTCATGATAAATCATCAAAGAGTTTATCAATAATAATAAATATTTGACAAGTGAATGAAGAGCTAATGAGGAGTTAGCAACGATAGATAAACCGTGATGACGGAGATTTTAAAGCAGATTCTTGGCGTCAAAAACATAAATTAGAGCTACATTTCAACTAATAGAGGACCGGCTATTATTTATGTTACTTACTAAACGTCAAGTTGAGGTAAATAATTGACCCGCCGTGATGGGGAAGGGAAGTGGCGGCCATTCTACTTGCCAACAATGGAACCAGGTCAGGCACAATAACTCTTTTTTTAATAATCGAAACGTTTTGTGGTAGTTAACTTTACCGTAATTTGATTGAATATACGGGCAGACAACAAAATGGCATCCATAAAAAGTGGAGCAGGCGGTGGTTGGATCGACCTTGGAGCATTCTTCCTGGGAGCCACGCTCGACCAATTTGGAAAATTTCAGAAATACGTTTTCCTACTCCCTCCATTTGACCCACATTGATGTAGCTTTGGTTAACTTCTATTTTTGAAATAGCCAGACAGAGAAAAACACTCGAATTCCCAATACATTTAATATAATAAGCCTTTACATTAGAAGTTTTGTATTTTTGATGAGAGATATAAAATTGAATCAAATAATTTTCAAATGAAATTCTTGAAATGTTTGTGTAGAGATTAGTTCAAATAAAGAGATAACATAAATAGATATTGTTTTGAAAATAGAGCAATCACTAAATACATCTTTAATTAAAAAGGCATATATTGGTAAAATAAATGATATTTTTATCCAATACATGCCTTTTTAATTATAGATAGATATAAATGGTTTGATATGCGAGACACTGTTCCATATGAATTATATGCATTACAATGTTCTAATTTTCAAAACGTCCAAAACCTTAATTCGAAAAGGAAGTACCCTTAGGTTTTTTACCCCAAATGTACAGACATAACGAAATGCTATTAAATTTTTCTATTTGCGTTTTCCTTAA